GTGGTGGTCCCCAGCTCTGCCGGCTCTGCCTCAGTCCCTGGTCTCTCCTATCCTTGGACCTGGCCCTCCGTCCCTCCCCCGTTCCGCCTCCGCTCCACCGCCCACCTGGATCGTTTCTCTGTCACGAATTCGGTCCATGGACTTCCGTTTATTCACCACCAGAGGTCACCCTTTCCATTACATTGACTCTCGCACAACACAAACTGTTGCATAGCACCCCGGACTACATATCCCATCATTCTTTGCACGATTTGCACACTGCACTGATTGCACTCATTAGGACTATTCTTGTGTTTTTGCCCGCCATATACCTGTTTGCCATTGTTCGACCCTGCCTGTTACACCACGTCTCTTTAAATAAAGCTTGCAGATGGATCCACACATCTCACGTCTTGTCAGCCCCGTTACAATGCCATATAAGTGTTTATGTTTTTCTACAGGAGGAAAACGCTTAGCGAGAGACTTTGTGCGTTGCGTTCATATTCTGCTGTTCTGTGGCCGCGGATTAGCGGGTCTTGTCTTTTTCTTGCAGGACCCTGTACGTTATAGTATAAAATTAGTTTTAATCGTTTAATCACCACCACAGCTTCTTGTCTCCATTGGCAACACGCACGATTTGTGTCGATTGCAAGTGACGCCGCAGGTATTGGAGAGTGCAAGTGGCGATTGCAAGTGACATTGTAAGTTAGTTTCTTTTTTCTTATCTTCACCACCTTGCACCACGGAAGCGCAAGTGTCTGAGAGTGCAAGTCTGAGAATGCAAGTGCAAGGCTGCAGCCAGACCCTTCTCGATCCTTTTCCCATTTAGCGCCAAAACTCTGGAACAATCTACCTAACATTGTATGGGAGGCAGACACACTCTGTCAGCTTAAATATAGATTAAAGACCCATCTCTTTACCCTGGTTTACACATAACACACTGTCGCATTTCTATAATTCAAATCCGTTAAATGATTGTTAGGCTGCATTAATTAGGTCAACCGCGAACACTTCCCATAACACCCGAATATTTTGATTCAACATAGAATTAATTTATTACACATAAACCTTTAAGGCTACAGGAGGTAAGTCTCTTGTCATAATAAGTGAGTCATTCAGTCATTCATTCAACCGATTCGTTCAAACTGCTGATTCATTCAGAAGTGTCTTTCAGAATGAGTTACTGAATTATTGGTTTGCTCGATTCATTCAAAATGTGGACTATTTTTGTTCCTATTTTGAGCAAAACCAGACAATGCTGATAATATTGTGTCTAAAACATAATATTAACTTCCTGTTTATTAAACTGTATAAAGTCAATTTCACATGTTGCAGTCATGCAGATATTCGATAAAATAGAACTTTTGACATTTAAAATTATTTCATATACAAGACAAAACCCTTACGGGACCTTTTGTCATCTTATCTTGAATTCAAGGGCATATAACAGCGTTCTCATTGTACTGCATCACGTTCATCAGCAACTGCAATATAAGATCATGTTCAGGTCTTTTTTCAATAGTGTGTGTGTGTGTGTGTGTGTGTGTGTACTGGTTTATATATCCTGGTGGGGACTTAAACCCGACTTCACACAGACTCATGGGGACTCGTGTCACGGTGGGGACCTAAATTGTGTTCCCCACGGGTACAAAAGCTTACAAATCACACAGAATTAAGTTTTTTGAAAATCTAAAAATGCAGAAAGTTTCCTGTGAGGGGTAGGTTTAGGGGTAGGGTTGGTGTAGGGCAATAGAATATACGGTCTGTAGAGTAGAAAAACCATTACGCCTATGGAGAGTCCCCACAAGGATAGCTGACCAGATATATAATAATTTTATGATGAACATATGTTATGATGAATATACATTTAAGCATTCAGGCACAGACACAAAACATATTTATGTACTCTCCACATATTTATTTGAAATTATATCATATGCTATAAAATATGTGAACATTTTTATTCTATTCTATTAATATTATAAAACATTGATGCAAAAATTATATATAATATTTACAATAATTTAGGTCAAGCATATCACAACTGAGATTTGATTACATTCGATGTGTAATATCGAAATGATTTTAGAGACTAGCCACTTTTGGTTTACTGGTTTAGTGTTTACTGTGTTATTTTGGTCACAAGAGGGCGACGCTTCCACAGCATAACCAAACCATGGGAAAGTATAACCTATAACTTATACAATAAATAAAAACTCTACATTCAAACTGAAAGTGTGAATCACGCCTTATATATTTCTAATTTCATCTATTCACTTAAGAAACAACATCATCATTGTCCTATCCTACCTCCTTGAACACTACTGAGCATTAACATCTACATAGGGTTTCCAAATCCTGTCTTTGTCTCATTGTGTTGAAGGAGCTATTGTCCTAGAGATCTTCAGTAGAGAACAAGTCTCCATTCTTATCTCTTTTATCATACCAAAAGACCCCCTCCTGTCAATCATCTGTTGGCTGATTAAGGATGATTCAAGTGTTGGGGGATGAGCGGGCTCTCCTGTGATTGGGATGGGAACATCTGCACAAATCACCACGATCAAATCATTCAGATGAAACTCAACAGCCCACTACATTTGGTGATGATTTAATCAAGCTGAGATAACGTGTTTATCTTCAAAGCCTGTTAGAGAAGACCTCGTCTTACCAACTTACATGTTACATAACCACATTACATAATAATTGAGCAGCATTCTGTTCACTTCTGTTTTTCTCATTAGGTTCACTTACACATATCACCATTCATTTCAATAAAGTAACAATACCAAGAATGAGTATTTATAAACAGACCCACTAAATAAGTACATTTGTATTTCTCAGCATTTACTTATTAAATATACAGTGCTATTTTAGTATTATATATACTATTATAGTTTTCATTTTTTAATATATATTTTTAATTTTCAGTTTTCATTTAAATTTTTTGTTTTTTATTACATTTTATTACATGCTTTTGTCATTTTTATTCGTTTCTGTTCTTTGAAATATTATCGGTTTCATTTATTTTGATATTAGTTTTAGTTATAGTTCAGTTTTAGTTTTTATAGGAATTCGAGTTCAACTTCAACTTATTTCAGTTTAACATTTCAAATTTTTCCCTATATTTTTCTTACTTTTTCATATTTTACTTTATTTCATTTCAGCTTTATTTCAATTAAAGTTTGTATATAATATTTTATTAAATTATTATTGAATTAAAATATTTTCAAATGCATTTTAATAAAATAATAAATTATTATTTATTTTCTAAAACTTTCAGCTTTATTCCAAGTAAAGTTTGTACTCAATGAACTAAAATATGTTTAATAGTTTTCGTTTTAGTAAACTATAATAACATTAGTAATACAAAATATTTGATTACATTACTATTTAATAAAGTATTACATTTATTTAAGTAAATTATTTATTTTCGAAGACTTCTAAGGGTTCCAAGTTCCCTAAAAATGTATTAAAGATCATTTTTAACAATGAACTATTGACATAAGCATTGTATAAATGTTAGTTTTAGGCAGCAAATCGAGCTTTTGGGGCTCTCCAGGTCTACTGCTCCCTGCATTGAACTTCAAAGGTTGAAAACCTCTCTAAGAGATGTATGCAGTAATATCAATATTGTAGTGTGCATGCACTACTGTAAGTGTCCTCACACGCCCACTTGAGCTTTACAGCACTTCCTGTAATGTCCGCGAGAGATGCGCATGCATTAGAAAAGGACGGGCTTAATCTGGGAATAAAACGAGTTGCGTATTTGTCGTTTTGACTGCGCATCCCGACAGTCAGTTTCCATAACATAGATTTCATAGGACTGCTGTTGTCGGAGGGATGCTGTGAAGAGGAAGTGCTTATTTGACTCCACATTCACAAAGACAAACAGAAGTATGGGTCTGCAGACTGTGTTCCGTGCGGTGACCATGGGGCCCCCGGGCTCAGGGAAGGGGACCGTGTCGAGTCGGATAGCGCAGAGTTTCGGACTGAAGCATCTCTCCAGTGGAGACATGCTGCGGGCCAATATCGAGGCGAAGACAGGTACGACAGCTCCAGCAGTCTTCTCATAGCCTACTATTTCAGGCGTTATTCATAAATAACCGAATACGCATGCTCGAGTCTTTTTCCCGTGCACTGCATACGATTAAAAAAATGACTTTAAAACTTCAGTAACTCGGTTTTATGTTGACAGGATATATAATTACAATTTACTTAGCCGCAGAAGTGAGTCTTAACTTTGGTTGCGGCTCAAAACCTAGTGCGCAGCAGTTTGGAGACATTGCGCTTTTCGCGTTTAGATAGAGGTGATGGGTCAATAGGCTCGCAGACAACGCATTTGTTATTTTATTTATTTATTCATTCATTTTTGAAACAGAAATGCACGAGGAGTTCACGATGAAGCAGTTCCGCTGATGATATATTTCCACGGCCGCCTCGAGTAACGTCCAGCACTTTCTTCTGGTGTTGGTTTTGATGTAAACACCGTCTGGAGAAACCATTAAAGTCGAGCTCAGGCTTTTAAATTGTGCCATTAGTCTTTTTATGTGTAGACATGATATTTATACTTTAATAGGGCTTTTTAACTGTTAAAGGCGATGTCTTTCTCCAGAGAATGTGCCTTGCATACTAAACTTTTACAAAAAATTTACTACAAATTATCTGGCTGCAAATCACACTGAAGCCCAAGCCTGCATTGCATTCAAATTTGCTCCACAATTCAGAGGTTTGCAAGATTGGACTGTATACAGTAGTGCAGGTTCCTTCTCTAATCTGAGCTCTATTTATAATGTTTTTGTAGAAGTAAACACACGTCCCGAATGGATGCCAGATGCTGTGTGTGACAGTATGTTGCATCATCAGTTATCTGGTGTGCAGTTCTACCTACCACAGTCAGGCTAACCCACATACAACATAAACAAATGACCAAGAAATGGCTACATAACCATTTAGCCAGATATAGAGTTGCAGGAGAGAAATATTAAAGGGGTCATATGATGCTATTTAAAAGATCATTATTTTGTGTATTTGGTGTAACAGAATATGTTGAGATGCTTTAATGTTCAAAAAACACATTATTTTTCAAATACTGTACATTATTGTAGGTCCTCTATGCCCCGCCTCTCTCAAACGCTTCGTTTTCTACAAAGTCCCTCCTTCCGACA